ATTCCACTACAAATGTACTGAAAAATGCCATGGATCTGAGCCTAGGGCCATGAGGCACAAAAAACCAGCTGCTTTTTTCAGAGCTGTTCCATGCTGACCTGAAGGAAAATCATGTGAGAGTGTTCCCCAAGGCCCCTTTTGTGGTTGCAGTTTCTCGGGGACCCCATGGGAGCTCAGTAGATTGCAGTGTTCCTCTTGGAAGTGGCTTTCCTTGGAAGACAGCCAGAGAAACAGGATGGTGGGAAAGCCTCACCCTAGGTCTAGAACCATCAGGCTCTAAGGAACAATCACTTTCTGCAGCTCCCCTGATTAAAGGGGACTACTTAAAGCACAAGCCCAAACCCTGTCCCTTGTGAGTTTCATATCTTTTTGTAATTTTCTTATCCTGTTCCTTTATTTCACACAGTACAAGGAAGCTTCCTTGTTCCGTACATCAATGATGTTTTTATATTCACATGATACTAATAAATATATATGGATTTAGCTTTTTTACTGGCATCATGTCCCACCTAGCCCAAATATTTCATGAAACAAGAAAACTGTTATTTTAGTGGTGATAATAGAGTTAAAAAGGAAAATATACAATCAATTCATTAAAATAATGTCTAAATTTTTATAAAATATAGGAAAATAAAATTCTATAGACTGTAAGTCATCAGTTACTGACTTTTTTCTTCCTATTTGAGGAAGGACTGAGGGGAAAAGACAAAGATTTTTTTTCACTGGTAAAACCTGTTGCTTTTAGGACACAATTTCAGTTATTTAGAGATCATGCAATATATGGAAAAGCTAGAGCTTTACCTCAGGAGACTCATTCTCCACAGAGGAGATCTGCTCTAACCGTGTTTGACAAAGTCTTTCCACCCAGTGCTGCACCTTTTCTGATTCTTCCAGGTCTTCTCGTTCTGTCTCAGATACCTTGACCATAACATTGGTGCATTAGAAAAGGTTACAGGTATGGTCATAATGCAAATGTACTTCAAAATTATGAAACATCACCTAAAATAGGTTTAAAAATAATAATACTACTTTTAAGGATTTCCTATTTTGCTGTTTTTCAGTAAATTCATCACTACACATGGACACAACTGCAGAGATATCCTCATTTGGGCACAAGCTGAGTAGAAATAAGCAAATGTGGCAACAGAATTTTGCAGTAAAACAGTTTTTTAAAATTTAATTATATTAGAATAATTAAATAAGTTACCTGCTAAAATAATTCCACTAAAAATCCATCTAATTTTCTTTCAATATACCTTTGAACTTGATCGATCACAACATACCTCTTGCACAAGACGATTTATTTTCAATTGTTTTTCTTTCTCCAGCATTCCTTCTTTCTCCTTGGCAAGTTTTTGCTCAAACTCCATTTCCTTTTTATTTTTCTTCTGTTCACAAAAACTATCGCTTTTTGACTTCTTTCTTTCTTTCCCTTTCTGGGAAGGTTTTGTAACAAAAACTTTTACATCAGCTAAAACCACCACAACCTTCAATCTTGGTACATGAGTGTCTGCCTTGAAAAATTAATTACAATCTATGCAAGAATGGGGATGGTTTTTTAAAAGAAAATCCAAAGTCCATCTACCCAATTTGCAGGAAATTCAAACTTTTTGGAGGGCTTGTGCCCCCTAACATAAGCTGGATAAAATCAGAGAATTCAACTTTTTTGTTCCTCTGCAAAGTTTCAACTTTAGGCCACACAGGCCCACTACAAAACTCTGAATATTCAGACAGTTTTAGCTGGGTCTTGATTTGCCATCTCTCTGTTTTGGCATATATAGATATAAATATATACATATATATACATATATATATATATAAAGACTGATTGCTTTCAGGTGACAGATGCTCATGTATAGGTAGATGTGTATAGTCCATGCATAAAACAGCTTCATGCATATGCCCTAAAATCAGCATAGCATTGCATCCCCTAATAAAACTGGAATAAAGAATTATAAAGGAAAGGTTTAGATCAGTTCAGAAATTGAGTTCCTGCTTCCAAGAAGGAACACTGCATCACAAAGACCATGTAGCTCCTATAAGCACTGGATAAAATCTACTCAGAGTTAAATAATACAGCATGAGGTGACTCTACAATTTTAGAGGTAGGATACAAAGAGAAAAGCTACATAATCTTTTAGAAGCCACTGTTCCTGTTGTCTTCAAAACACCCATTTCTCCTTAATTCTACTTTAGTGACGTCACATTTCTGCTACCCTTTCACATTGTACAGGTAGGACTTAATTCATTTTGGAAACGCCATGTTCTCCTTTTATATATGAAAAGTAAAACAGAGGAGCAGGTGGCCACTTATTGACAATTATTGCCATAGCCAGAAAGGCTGTGCTTTAGGTTTTATTTTGTTTCTCTCATCATCAGCTATCGACTTTTCTTGCTTTGAATTCCCAAAACCACCACGAACTGCTTCACATTAAATAGCATTATTTGTCTTCCTTTCACCTTTTGCATGTTAATATTGATAAAAAAACTTGGAAAACAGACATTTTCCCTGGCAGCTACAGAAGCCAATTCCCCCAGTCAAGGAGTTAATGGGAACTTTGTACTGCTGAGCTCAGTGGGATGTGGTCTATTGCTTCATGGTTACATGGTGGTGAGGGGAGCAGGAGGAAAAGGAACCCCAAAAACATCAGAGATTAAGCTTAACTAAAAAAAAAATCTAGCTTTTCACAATAATGCTTTTACATAAACCTAATTCTGTGGTCTATTTTGTTCAGGGCTAATTCGTTTTTACCTTAACAACAATTACCAATATCATCCTCTTAAAAATTCAAAGATACATTTAGTACTGTCTGCTAGATGTAGCATCAGGCAGGTCAACTTGCTAGATATCAACATTTGAAGGATTACTGAATTCAAAGGCACAAAAAGCAGTAGACAAGCCAAAGTCTTCTAGAACATGAACATACATCTGACTGTCTTAGCTGCACTCACAGCATTCAGATACAACAGGATGATTCATCCTTTCCTACAATTTTCCCCATGGATTCAGTTTAATTCCTATTATAGACATTTTTAGTACAGAGTAAAATATTGTTTTTAAAGCAAACAAAAAAATCATTAGCAATAGGGAGTAGGAAAAAAATTCATCACAGCAAAAAGCAAATGATTGAAAATAAAATCTTTTCAAACTTCCAGTGCACACAGTGTGGTAAAGTTCAACAGGAATTTTGTTAACATCATTAGAATATGAAGAGGTATTTTGGCAGTCTCTAAACTATAGTTGTCAACAGAAACACCAAATATTACCCTCTTTGTGTGAAGAATTTCCACAGCATGCATTTATAATTTTCAGATAAAAATCCTAACTGCCCTGGTTTTCACACAGGTTACAGATCCTTGCTGATTTTGTACTAGCAGTACAAAAAGGTATTGGAATGCACCATCTTCTCCTGTTCTCTTTTAAGGGGAATAGGTACATGCTGGGCACACAAAGGTCAAAGTAATAGTTCTAAACAGTGACACAAATACTTCATCTGTCAGAAACAACCCTGACCTCCTTTGAAACATTGAGCTCTTGCCAGATACACTCATAAAATATTCATGGCACTTTTACCACAGTTAATTACCAAAAACCTCACCACGAAAGCACACAACACAACAGCAATGCCTCTATAATACGGCTAATATACATTGCAAGAAAGAAAGAGAAGGAAACAACAGTAAGTATAAAATATTACTCAAAACTCTCATAAATTGAAATTGCAATACTTCAGCAGCATCTCTGGGGACACAGAATTATTCTATCAGCTTAAAGATTGTTATTTTTTTTTTTTTTTTTTGCTCTTATGTGCATGACTAAAAGCCTTTTGCCTTCAGCACTCCTCCAGGGAGATTTGCAAAAGTATAACTGCATAATTTTTGTGTCTACTGTTTTTATACACACATGATTCTGAGGATTTCAGGAGAACATGAAGACATGCCTTGCCCACCTGTAATAAACACCTGCAATGTATTGTTATACAATTCCCTCTGCACATGGCAGAATGCAGAGCCTGAAGGACTCAAAAAGACAAAGTCCTAGACACACATATCCCAAAGGCATCTTCATTTGTGCACACGTTAAAAGAAGGAACATTCGAGTATATAGAATGTTTAACAACAGCAGAGAAGAAGGAAAATGAGGAATTCAAATTCAAACACGCACACAGCAAACAAAATCACATTTCAAAGTTTGTACCTTACGGATTGTGGGAAATTTTCCTTCATACCGATAAAACCATCCAAAAGCTACAAAAGGTAAAGGAAAAGTTGTTTTTTGAAGAAAAGCCAAGGACAGGCTCATCCTCAGACCAATCCATGCTGATATGTGTAACTGATTAAAATTTATTTGAAGGCAAAACACCAGAGGTTTGATATTACATGACAAGTTCTTAGCTAAATTCTTGATAAATGGTTTTAGAACATTTAGTCATAGGCATCCCTTCTTTTAATGGTACACATTTTATGCCAAACAAAAAAAATTCAACAAGTAATCTTCATACAGAACCACACAGGCATGTGCATTTCTAAGATTTCTATGGTCACACTCCTACTTTACAGTAGTTTTAGCAAGCCTTATGAAAATGAAACAGGCATTCAAACTCATTCAAACTTGTGGCAGAGCATAGCTTTTGAGGAGACATGAAAAGCTGCATTTCCCAGGACAAAATATTTCAAGCCAAGTGCATAAATTTTATAAAATATATTGCTAAGTAAGATATACAAAAAAATATAATACCATACATTTATATAAGAAACACTGCTAACACAGAGCACTTAATATAGTCCACGTTCCTGTAGGGCTGTTAGATTTCATATCAAGCTATCTTTAGATCCAAAGACAGCAGCAGTGTCAAAATATTTCATCATTTACTAAAGGACCACACATATTGCCATAAGAAAACCAAATGGTCAGTTTAATGTCAAGACTGACTGTCAGGAGGAGGTGAGACACAGGTAGAATCTGAATCAGGATAGAAAGTCAGGGCTGAGTGGCAAACCTGTTTGTCCTGCTTCATGTTCACTTCATCCATGTCATCTGTTTCAAGTTGGTCTTGTGCAACTCCCTTTAAACCTTCTAGAGAAACAAAGGAGGAAAGGGGTGAGGGGACAGAAGTGACAGTAACTGGGGATTCCCATGAAATGAAAAAGAGAGCAGTAATGTGTGACTAGATGTTTCCATGAAACAAAATATGTAGTTAGTGATGGGATGTTTTTCCAAAGAATTGTTAAAAAAAGTAAAGCCCTACTGAAAACAATCTCCAACCTTCTCCAGCCCTGAAGAGCTATTAGAATCTACATGTGGACAACTGGTCTGCTATGTGGTAAAGGGAAGCCTGAAGAGTTTGGTGGCTTTTCCTCTAACAGAACCATCAGCAGACTGCCCCAAAGTCACAAAAAAAAAAAAAAAAAAAAAAAAAAAAAAAAAAAAAAAAAAAATTAAAAAAAAATTAAAAAAAAAAATAGCATCAGGTTAGGAATTGGCCTAGGCCTCCTGTAAATTATGCATCAAGAACTTTCCATGTTTTAATTTGTACAATACAATTTTACTACACTTTGCATACAATTTGCAGCTTCTAATTTAGCTTCTTAACTGCCAGCTAAGCTCTGTCTTAATTCCCCTTGGACAAGTAAGTCAGAAAGCCAGCAGTGTCCTGGGCTGCATCAAGAGCAGCATGGGCAGCAGGGCAAGGGAGGGAGTTCTGCTCTTCTACTCTGCTTCCATTGGACCTCTCCTGGAGTGCTGCATCCAGCTCTGGGGCTGCCAATATAACATGGATGTGGACCAGCAGAGGGCCATAAAGATGATCAGAGGGCTGGAGCACCTCTGCTATGAGGAAAGGCTGAGGGAGTTAGGGCTGCTCAGCTTGGAGAAGAGAAGGCTGTTGGGAGACCTTAGGTCAGCCTTTTGGTACCTAAAACAAGTTACCAGAAAACTGAAAAGGAACTTTTTGAAAGGGCATGTAGTGACAGGACAAGGCAGAATGGCTTTAAACCAAAAGAGGATAGATTTAGATTAGAGCTAGGAAGAAATTATTTACTGTGAGGCACTTGAACAGATTTCCCAGGGTAAGTGGTGGATGTCCCATCCCTGGCAGTGTTCATGGCCAGTTTTGGATGGGGCTCTGAGCAACCTAGTCTAGTGGAAGGTGTCCCCAGCCATGGCAGGGGTTGGAAAAAGGTGATCTTTAAGATCCCTTCCAAGCCAAACTGTGAAAAAGCTGACAGGTAAATACTGAACAGTAACAACATGTAAAACAATGCACTAAACACCAAAGTTATACATGTCTATGCTTCAGACTATTTCTTAGTTAGCCTTATTATTTTTATTTTTCCTGCTGCTGATTGCTAAAAACCATGACTATTTGAATGGATGTATATTTTTCAAGATAGGCACCTGTTAAATAAGAGTTATTTAATTGATTTATCATATGCTTCCAGTCTTCAGAAAATAACCAATTCATAGCTAGCTTAACATGGAGACAAACTGGTGATAGAGCTCAGTGATGTGTCTGAGACAAATGGAAGTAGGCAAGCTGACATCAATTACTTACTTTTGTGTTTGGAAGGAGGGGCAGAATGCACTTCTGCAGTTACAGTTTTTAGAGACTTGGGTGCTTCTTTAGGACCCCAGTCTTCTTCCCACTCCTTTTTAAATTTCTCTTCCTCTGCTGTTATCCTAGAGGAAACAAATCCAGTTAAACATTCTGAGTACAAAACCAACCACATCAGTATATATTGATTAGCATTGTAATTTTTTAGCATATTTGTTTTTTCTCTGGAACATAAAGCACAATAAACTGCGCCTTCCTCATAACCAAATTCCTTTCATCAATCTGTTTCATTTACTAAGCTACTAAAATAATTTGTAAAGTACAGTGTAAGAAGATATCCTTATTTAATATTTAGACTTCTAAGGCCTATTACATATCACCTGCACAGATACTAAGCCATGAGTGACACACCACAGTACTGTCTGTCAGCTTGAATGAAGTAAAAAAATCATCTGTCACTTAGCAATTTTTAGGACTGGAATTGCTTACTAGAAAAACTGAAACACTGAGTGGCAGACTATCATACACCTAAATCAGACATCACAAGGCAAACTATACCTAAAAAATATGTGACTCCTCTCTATATCTTTAAATCTATTTTGATTATTCCTTCCTAAACACAATAGTTCTAGGCTGCCATAAAAAGTAACTCTTTCCAAAAATAAATAGATACTGTTGAAACAGAAACCATATTAAATTCTGAATTCTAGGGGGAGAAAAAGGGAAAAAAATTTAAAAAAGAGAAGAGAGGGAAATAGGTACAGATAGAAGATGGGGGTGCTGCAGAGAGTGCCACAATTCAGGAAAAGAGCATGCAAAACAAGTAAATTACCTAGTATGGCACCATGATCAGAGAAAAAGACATTTCAAATAAAAATACAGCAAATACCAAGTATGTCACAGCAGAAGTGCTGAATTATCTGACAACAGGTAGCTTCATATATGCTGCCTTAAGATCCAAGATCTAATAGACCCAGGATCTATTCTTGACTATTGCTTGCCTTGAACTGATAATGTAGTGACAAAATTTACCATATCTTAGATATATATTATGCTATTTATATTTGGATTATCTTTTGCATCTCTAAATTAGCTAAAGTAAATTGAAAAACTATTCACATGATGTCAAAACACTCTTATATCTGTAGCTGAGCTCACTATTTAAATTTAGAGGCATTGTCAGGGAACAATGGACACAATGTTTTTTCATTTAATTTTAGATTTAAAAAGTTGGTGTTACAATGTTACTTGCAGTACATAGAGTTAGGGACATTTGCCATTTAGGCACATTTGAATTTTTTTCAAATGTAAGATACCAAAAAAGGGCACAGTGAGTTTATACAAGGAAATCCTGCAGAAAGGATTCTTAAAAGAATGCAAGGCATGATACTCACAAACAATTAATACAGAAAAATATTGTGTTTTAGCCAGTCATAACTGCCTATTAAATCTCAGCTTTAGATTTCATCTAGATTCCTCTACTACTATTCTCCCTCTTCCTCACCCAGGAGATTGACACCGACTTAACAGTTTGGATTGTGATATGGAAAAGCTTAAAAATGCCTGAGCAACACTTAAAAATTCTACAAGGAAGTCTAAAGCTGTGCTAGACATTACACTGATCAGCCCTCAGGGCACAAAAGCCTTCCCTGAGCGAGTAAAGATGCTCAGTGCAGAACAGCACAGCAGACATCCAACATCCATTATATCAGAGAGGCAATCTAGATTTGGAGAACAGAATCATCCTTCACCTGTGATGGTTGCTTTTATAGCAGCTTTTGGCTATTGCGAGAATTTCTATAATAGGCCACAAAATAAAGAACAGGATGTTATCAACTCCCTGGGATCAGAAAAGGGAAATGCATAAAAATTCATCCATTGCTGCTGTATAGCCCACAGCAGGACTGCCAGAAGATTTTTATCTTGTGACAGCTAGGGAATATATTTCTTTATCCACCTTACAAATTCAGAAATCACTGTTCTTTTTCTTTCTACATGAAAAGGGACTTAAATGAATTAAAGCCCCTTAATATGCCAAAGGTGCAAAGCCAAAGACTTGAGGGACAATCTTAGCCCTAAAAGGCTGAATCAAAACAGATACTACTCTGCAATTTGCATTTTCATGCAATTTCCCAGCATCGTTTAGAAGGAAAGTTAATTACTGTGATAACAACCAGTTAATTTCAAAATTCCAAATGTAAAAGAATGCTTAAGTTAAAAATATAGTACTGATCTGTTTCTTAGCAGAACTGCTTTCTTTCCTCTTAGAATTAAATGTAGTGGTTCAGTGACAACAAAGTAAACAAGTTCTGAGACACAGAACTTCCTTAGTCTTAAGTTTCTCTATATATTAATATTTTTAAAATAAGTGCATAACTTCAACTTCACACTGAATTTATTATTGCCTCATGTTTATTCATAATCCTCAGGTTTACAGGTGCTGATTTTCAGGTCAGTTTCCTATTTAACTGTGCTGTACTTACTGATATGTACTGGATCCCACATTTAGCTAAATGAAATATTACACATTTTATTTGAAAGCAACATGCAGAATGTTTTCAGCTACATCTAATCTAATACACAAGGAACCCTTTTCCAGGTGGCACATTGCCTGTGTAAGGTTTTTACTCACTGCTCTATTTCTCTGCGATATCTCTCTTCTTCCTCTGCAGCTTTCTGGGAAATCTCCAGCTTTCTTCTATAAGAGGAATTAGGACAACATGATAAAAATAGTGTTTTCTGAGTAAGAACCTGAATAAAGTGTGTCAGCATATAGTTAGTAAAAGATACAGACAGTAAATATATTTGTATTGGGGGAAAATGATCTGTTTTAAAAGTCATCTTTAAGACACCCGAAGGTTCAGTATGGTTTCCTAGGAACCCTGAGGACATTCCTGACCATCTGGAAAATAAGGGCATATAATTTACTTAATTCATGAAGTCACTACCTCCTTCTGAGGCAAGACTATAGCATGGTTTTGTATGAGCATAAAATTTCTAACTGTCTTGCTAAAAATAAAGCAGGAGTGAATAGCGTGAGTGAGCAGGAGTGAATATCACACTGAATAATTGGGGTACAACAGTCAGGTAGTAGTGTGACCCTTCTACTTAAGATGGCTTCGAAGATATCAGCTTTGAAAGCCCGGAATATCAAGAGCATCACAGGACAAACATTTTATGGACAGAGACTTTGCAAAAGCAAAACAAAGTTAATCTAAGTTAAGAATCTTTTCACTTCTGCAAGAAGTATCACAGAAATAATTATGTGCTCCTGTCTTCCATGTCCTCTCCAAATCCAAGCTAAATTGTTCAGACTGCCCTACAGAGAGTGCTCACAATCTCTCTTTCTCCTGCTGCTCTTTGATGATTTTGTTGGTCTCCAGTGCGAGCCGCTTCTGATGCATCAGCTCCTGGCGCTCCTGCTCACGGAGACGTGCTTCTCTTTGCCTTTCTTCTTCAGTCATGAACAGCTCCTTGCCCTGCAATCAAAACCACCACCCCAATCAGTTGTGCAAATACCTCATGAATGCAGTTCTTCTAGGAAATAATTCAAACTCAGTAACATAGTAGCACATCTGCCATTTCCTCACATTGCCCTTCCAGTGGAAAATACCCTGAAAGATCCTCAAAGACCTGACCACTCACCCCAAGGAGCTATTCTAGTTTCAGTCTCTAAGTTACTATGCACCAAACAAGATTTGCAACTACTGAAGTCAACAACACTGCAGGGGTCACACCAAATACATGCTCAGTGTGTCACCCAGAAAAAAAAATTCACATTATACTTCCTTTAAATCTCACTGAGCAATGAAATGCCAGAGAATAGAATACTGAATGATTCCCAATGTGAAGACTACACAGTTACTGTGTTTTAGTGCTCTTATGCCTGGCTGCTGCAGAAATGTGCTGTCATTCAGGAACTCAAATACAGGGAATGTACACCCCCAAAACACTGTATAGTTGTATTTCAGTTGGTTTTGTTCCTGTTTCATTTGCTTTACAATTAAAGACACTAGCAATATTTTCTGTTCAAGAAAGATATCTCCATACTGCTATAGGTAGAACACCTTGATAATATTAATCTAATTTTCATTTCTGAAATTAAAATTCCATGTTAATTAAGAATGTAGGATTTTTCATGTCTCTAAAGTGCAAAGTAGAGATCTTGAACAAAACCAGGCATTGAGGAATGTCTTTGAACCATAATAGGGAAAATGTTTCCTTATGCTATCTCTTTTCCAGACAAAGATGTCCATTGAGAAGATGATGCAAGGTAAAGGAGTGAGGAACAGAAGAATTCCATAGCAACAATTTGCCATTTTAAGGATACCACACCAGTGATGCATGCTGAGGTAGATCTCATATTTTTAAAGTTATCATACCTGGGAGTTGAAACTAAGTCCTTAAGATGTTGAATTCCTGGAACTTAATCAACTAGCCCAGAATATTTGTTCAAATAATCTCTACAGTGCCTTTGGACAACTTCATCTTTTGTTACCGTAAGAGTAGATCAAATAAACTATTAATTCCTTAATGTAGCTACACAGTATACATGAACCCTTAGGAAGTAGCTGAAGTGACTTATTAAATCTTTTTTTCCCTATTTAATTCAGTTGCAGGGCAATTAGAAAACACCATCTTTGATTAGTCTATGGAACTTGATTATCCTCTTGTATACAACCACACACTTTCTATAAGAAGGATTAGAGCAGTAAAAACCTTAAAACATTTATTGAAAGTCACACTGAAGTCAGAGGAAGATTTAATTAATTTCAGCTGGCTTTAGATTAGACCCCAAAGGCTTATAGTTCTGTTGCACAGAACTGTGGAAATGAAAAATTGAGCAATTTTCAGTGTGTCAATATGCTAATGAGATCAGATAAACAGTTACAAAAGGAATTAATTTGGAATAAGACTAACGCATCAGCTATTAATGACTAAAAAATTATTTGTCACCAATCCAATTCACCTTTCATGTTTCAGCAGAAGCAGATATCTAATAGAACAGAAGCTCTCAAACATGAGAGACCACTACAATAAAGTTAATTTCCATTCCTTGTTAAGGGAATGGCTCTGCATTGGCCTACAGTCATGTTTCAATTGAGAATACTTGGTGTGGTATGAAAGAATCACATTGCCACTCAAAACTGCCCTGGTTTGACAGACCTTATACAGAAACACAGCTGTTGTTTTTATGCATTTATTTTTACCATTGATTTACTTACATAGCAATTTTCTGCTTACAAATGTTCTGCTTTTACAAATATACTACTTACAGCGCCTGCCACCACAGAGATTGTCAAAGTACGGCTGCTCTTGAGCACTCTGACAGCCTGCAAATTAAAACAAAACAAAAATCAGTGTGAAGGAAGGGATAAAAGGCCAGTATAATGCTAGTTGCCAAGGCTGGAATTACCAGAACTAAACAGAGTGGTAGGTATGGAAATATCCAAAATGCCATGTTCAATACTCAACCCCTTAAGTCAGTAGCCCAGTATCAAAACATACTTTCTGTGGACAGGAAAAAAGGACAGATGTTTAATAAGCTGACAACTACAAATCCAGGGAACTGAGAAGACTTGATTTTACCTCTTTATGATCCACGTTAGAAAAGTCCACTCCATTCACCTCAACAATCTGATCACCAACCTAAAGAAATCAATGCAAATTTTAGTACAGATGCTAAGTTAGTACATACATTCAATGAAAACAGAAAGAGATGTTTCCCTTCATATACCAGTCATGGGTACTGGCAGAGTGCAATGGGAACAGACTGGAAACAGGTCAGGCTTGCACATACTCCTACAACGGGATCTGCTGTTGCCACTGCTTGGGTTCAAATCCTGAGCTTGAAAGAATATTGGTCTGACCCAGATCACTCACGTTAAAAATTTAAAAAAACTAGCTTTGTTTGAAATGTACTCACTGGATATTTCTTTCCCAAGGGAAAAAAAAAAAAAACAAACATGAATCCTTGGAGTTGTCAATACAAAACAAGAATTCCTTGTGGTACCTACCTTGGAAGGTGGCAAACTTACCTCTAAGCCCACCTCTGCTGAAAGAGAACCTGGCTTAACATTGCTGATAAAAATCCCTGGTTTTTGTGTTGGACCACTGGAAATACTGGAAACGTAAAAAACCCCAAACATTAATTGGATTATATTTATAGAATAATATTTATGAGGAATACAATGAGTTGTTTTTGTTGTTTCCTCATATTTTTTTTTACTTAAACAATATTTATGGTATTAGACAATTCTGAAACAAACCCCAAAACTTACCAGTACACACACAATGGTTTATCATCCTATTTTTCTATTCTCTACCCCATAAAACTGGTTTAAAAGAAAAAACTAAAATAAAAGTATTCAATCTTATGTATTTTGTTTTACATGCTGAAACTTTATGTATGCTGACCTACACGGTCTAAAGGATTGGAACACTAATAATACTTGAAAGTGAGCAAGTAACACAATGAAGAATTACTAATTATTCATTGAACTGCAAGATACTGTATGTATATTGTTATTTTGTTAGGATTACTTGTTAGGAGCAAGAAGGATGTTTCATCCAGAGGCTAACATCTAGCTCAGGAACTTTAAGCTGCCATCTAAGCTTAGATGGGCCTAGATACAGAAACTATTTTTGTAGATTATATATTAAACAAGTGATGCTGAGCCACCCTTCCAGCTTTGTAAATAATTTTTAAAAAACCTTTACATCCTCCAAATTACAGGAGAAAAAAGGTTACAATTATATATTTCTAAATATATAAAAAAAATCCTAGGATATCCCCTCTACTCCAAAACCTCCATAAGTAAGGATAGGAGTCCAAGAATCCCAGAATCATATTTCTAAAAAGCCTTTCAAATTGAACATTAAGAGCTGGATATAGCTTTGTGATGGTGTTTTAGTTCTGAAGAGGGTCAGAGAAGGCAGAGAGCGAACCTGACAGTGGACAGGGCTGGAATTTGCTATATCACCAAGCAACACTTTTAAGTATTTAAAAATGTAAAAGCATTTAAAAGATCCAATTCCATGACAAGTTGTACTAGGGCACTTTCAGTCTGCTCTTATTTTTAAGTTTAAAGTTTTTCTTCTTCATGACAAATCTTTTAACACAGGTACTTATGCTTTGCCTAAAAATATGTAATATGTGACACAGATATCCCACTGCTACAGTTTGACTTCCTGATCCAGCATGGATCTTTATTTTCCTGACATCATATCCAAGAAGGATGGAAATAACTGCCTTTAGTGTCTCATTTAAAAAACAGTGACTTAAGTAAAAAATGTGTACCCACCTGCATCCCATGCCTTTTGTACCAATCAAGCTGATGAAGACTTTCTTCTCTTTATTGTCTCGCCCTCCAGAAGAAGCAAGTCCAGCAACACTGCCCTTTCCTTCCTGCAGAGGGATTAAACAATACTGCAGATGTTAATTCTGTCTTGAATTCATATCAAGACTATTATAAAATTTCATGTAGCCAGGATGAATCCCAGCCAGCACCAAGATAAGATTCAAGGTACTGTTCAAGGCTCCAAAGTCCTATCCTGCTGGAAATGAATGTGAAGTAGAGTCATTTCAGTGGAGCTGCATGGCTGAGGTGAAAGACTGAACTTATCTGTTTGGAGAAGATTACTTAAATTGTCAAATTTTGTCTTCAGAAAGGAGTGGGGGAAAATTAGAGGAAAGTGATATGGAAAAATAATCATTTAGATGTTCCCTGACAAAAGGGCTGGAGAAATACATGATAAGGCTCCCTATTTAATTAAGTCTTTCTTCCTGAAAGCAAAAGAACAGTAATTGTGGTATTTCTTTTCACATCTGCAACCCTTAGAATTCACTTGCATTCAAAGTTGTAATTCCTCCTCTAATAGGCCTAAAATAGGCCAAATAATCTGATAAAGATTTATACAGTAGAACTGTAGCCTGGGAAGTTAATAAGCTCAAGTAAAATGAAGTAGTTAATGAAGAAGCAATTTCATTTGTGTCCTGCCCTTTCCTTACCTAATAGCTCTAGAATAATTTCATATCACAAAAGATTCCTTACAGAATACTTTCAACAAGATACTGCATTATAGTAATGCAAACAATGGCTTCTCTGATAAGGTCAGAGGAGAAAGTGTTTCAGAACTATTACAGATTCCCCAGAAGACATTTAAAAATATATTGATTTCTTACCCCAGACTCTGACACAAACTGATCCACATATTGCCATTTAAGGGGTTCATGTGGTGAACTGAAAGGAAAAAAATTAATTTTAAATCATGGGACAAAATGAATGTCTATCAATTTCAGAAGCTACTTTGGAATGGAGCCTTCTGTTTTGCATCCACAACTTTCTTTGGATACCATTCACATTTGGTTTATTTTCCAGCAATTTAAATAGAACATTAGCAAGCGTACAATTTGGGCTGGTAAAGATTGAATATAAAATTGATAAAGCCCTCCCAGGTGAAACAATTTTAGGAAACTCAGAGAAGACTGTAAAATGAACTGTAGCCACTCAAACATCTTACACAAATGTCTATGCAGAGTGACACCTCCTGTCATTAACATTTCTCAAACATTGCACCTAAAGATTCAGCTTTTCAACAAAAATTGGAAGATCAAAACAATTTTAAATTTTTCTAAACTCTGAAGCCATCATCAAATGCTACATACAAAAAGAAGCAGTGGAGCTCTCTGCTAAGCTAGGTGCATTGATAATTAAATTTCCAGGAGATATCTGTGACAAATGAGGAAATAGAAATTGGTTCATTTAAGTAGGCAACTGGTATAAAATCAGATTCATCAAGCAAGACATCTCCCTGTTCATTAAAAAAGGATGTGACATTTTAATCAGCATTCACACATTTTCATAATTAAACACAGATTCTTTGGATAGGAGAGGATATGTGAAAATGAATAATCTGTTTTCAAATAAAAAGCCATTACCTTTTGACAGGTATCATGCCAATATCTGAAAAAGAAAAATAGTTTTTAGGTTTCTGCAGACCACAAGCAATCCATTAATAGCAATCTTTGGTGATACAGGTGATTTTTTTGCATTACTTACGTCTAACTTTTATGGACACAATTTTCTTTGTACGAATGAGGTTTATGACTTCTTCGTGTGTGCATGACGAAATGGAATATCCATTGATGCGCACAATCTCATCCCCAACCTCAAAAGTGGAAGGGAGAAGAAAAAGTGAGTTAATAATTCTGAAAGTTTTTAAGATTGAATACAGTCTGGCAATCATTTTAATGCAAAAGTAAGATAATGTTGATTCATGAATTCTTTCTGAATTTCATGTAATGTCAGATTAGACTTACCTGTATTTGTTTTGAATTGATACCGAACACCAAAAGAACAAATTAATGGCCAAATAAAAATTTTATAAATACTGTCTACTATACATCAGATTTGTACTCCACAGATTCCTTAAAAAGAAGAGTCTGTTTTAATTCCCATAATTTTGGAGCTATTTTCTTCTTTTATACTTCAGAAGTTAAAGTTTGCTTTTACCACATATTTTCTGAGATACCTTCCTTAATATATTTGATCAATAGGAAACTAAACTTAGTCTTATTATCTTGCCTGATTCTGGATTGAGAAAATGCATTATTTTAAGGGATTTTATCTCTTTGTCTTTGTCTGGGGACCCTGCTAACATTCATTGGCAATCCAATGGCAGCACCTCAAGGACATTCCCTGGCAGTGTTCAATTTAATAGCATAGAACAAAGTGCTTTCAGCCACTTCTATAAAATTTCAAATCTTATTTATCAAAGTACACTCAAAAAGTTTCTCTTCCTCTAATATAAATCCAAATTTGATGTGCTATGATGATGAGAGAGAATTTTCCAAGTTTTTATGTACTCTGCCCAATGATCCTCTTACCCAGCTAGGCTGAGAAGGAATTGGTGATGGAGATATTGCCTACTTCATTTATTATTGCCTACTTATTATCTGCTCAAGATTATAGTGAAAAATTCCAGGTCCTGGCTGGAGCACCATAAGCAAAGACTTGTACTTGATGTGAAGCACATGATGTGGCTGTGTGAAAATTAATGCACGATTTCTGCATGTAAATGCAGAGTAAAATATACAAATGATTACCATAAAATTACATTAACAAGCCATCACCTGTATCATCTTATACCTCTGATCTCCACATGGACAAAGGCAAATAATTAGGGTCCTTTCCAGTACCATTTCCTCTGAACTATTGTGAATATTTGTTATGTAAAATGTATTTGATGAGACTTTTCTCTTTAACAACAGCGTGGGATTTTGTTCTCAGTCAATGAAACTTTGGGTGCCTCCTCACAAATATGTCTGGCAGCATTGCCCCTAGTTAATGATTGCTTAAAATGTTCCATTTAAAGACTCAAGAGTCAGTCTTCCAAATTTCACTTTAAGCTTAAGTTTTTCATGCTGGTTTCTGCATTAGGCTGATTTGAAGTTTCAGCAAAGCAAAAGAAACTATCTACAATTACTTTATGAGAGGCTCTGTGCTTTCATTTTATATGAGAGGACTGAGAGGAATTGGAAGTAGAAATTCCTCAGCATAGGCTATATTCTAAAGACTTTAAAACACACAGAGACATGACACTGGGTGGCAGGACATTAGGCATGCTATCACCTGTTTTTTTTTGTATTGTCATTATGCCTCAAATCTTCCTACTGTGATCTGGTGAATTGAAAAAATAAAACAACAAAAAAAAAAAAAAAAAAAAAAAAAAAAAAAAAAAAAAAAAAAAAAAAAAAAAAAAAAAAAAAAAAAAAACCAAAAACGCCATAACCATAAATATATCTTCTTTATTTCTTTCACAAACTTTTCTAATGCTTCTGGGAAGTGTCTCATGCTCTGCAATGCCACACAAAACACTAACAGGTCCACTATACCAGCATTAATCTTGGTCACACTGTCCACTGAAGCTGAGGATTTTTGTCTGACACAACGCAGGATCAGAAAGCTGCAAAAGCAATGAAAACTCTTCTGCAGAACGAATGCACTGATAGAGGCAAAACAGGACTGTGGTCCCTAGCTCCTGACCAGTGGGACATCCACTCCCTCTGCTGGGCATCCAAAAAAATCTCATCCAGGGCAATGGCCTGCACTCCTAAGAGCTTGACAGGCAGATTTTAAAAATAATCTTTAATAACAGCAGAAATAGGTCGGTAATGAAGGCTTTTGAACATACAACCTGTGATAAAAATACAGATGCAGATAAGAAGAGCAGATGAGGTCTGCAGTTTATAGTTACACCCTTGACAGCTCTTGCTGTCACTCACTTAACCAGCTTGATCCAAATATTTAAAACCATGTCCATCCACCCTGTCAATTTTCTGTTGATTTCACATATGTGGTGAAGGGATAGGGTGGGCTTTTTGTTTGGTTTTCTTTTAGTTCAAGATCCCCTCTTTACTCACATCTTCCACATCGTGCAGACTGTAACAGGCTTGGGTTTGCACAAACCTGACTCTTTAAAAGGGTAACCTATCATGTTGTTATTGACTGCAATGCCTTAACACACAGGAACCCTCCAGTTTTAGGGCTGCAAATGACAGTGGCATCCTGGGGCCTCTGTACCAGCAGAACTCATGTTGTTCTGAGGATGTCAGCATTCACTGATTCAAATCTGTTCTCATCTCCCCAAGAGGCACTTAGAAAATTATAAATGCACAAAAGAGCATATTTTATTTTCCCCTCCAGTACAGGAATGAGCTTTTCCCATACAGGTATTTTTAACACTCTCCTTTACTAGTCTGTCATCTTATTTTTGCCACTCAACACTCTTTACTCAACCTAATGACATTTGTATGTCTGACAGACAATGACTGAGGTTGCTTTACAAATAACCCAATCTAGGCTGAATTACAGGAGATGTATGGGCATACAGCAAGCTGCTTCTCTTTAGGATACTTGAACAGCTTTTTCTGAACAATGGTATCTAATATTGGGGTAATTAATAGCTGTTTTCATGTATTTTGTTACTTTTGTACAGGTATCACTGTATACCAAGCTAGTGAATCAGAGCTGTAGAGATAAAAGTCTGCAGGACTAAGCAGAGTAGAACAGTAACAATTATTTTGGTATTATATCACAGTTTCCCCTTTCCCTATCCAACAGAGATGACAGACCTTTTAGAAAAAAGATGCAAACCTAACTTTTCTCAAGTAAAATGCCTATTATTTCTAACTTTTAACATGAGAAATATAATATTTAGTGCTTCTAGGAAATTGAAGGGCTTTATATAATAACATCAACTGTTTCAAATTTCCCATTTTGTATACTGCTTCCACTTTCATCATTCACACCAATCTCTTTGTATTCAGCAGAATCCCCACACACAAGTATCAAAAAGCAGTGGGGGGTGGGAGGGGGAGAGATGAAGTCCATTTCTTAATGGAAGGACAAAACACTTGTGCCTTTTAGAGAAACTGTAGTCATAAAAGGGTCAAATCTACAAGTGCCACAGAGAACTTTTATTATTATTTGGTCATTTTAATGTAACTTGAAAAGTACCTCAAGGAGAAAACATACAATTTGAACTGGAAATTTTAAAAGCAGCAGGACGTAAAACTGATGGTGTAATAGAAAATCATTATACCTTTCTCAGTTTGCATTTTTGGGACTGAAAATGTGTAGAGATTTTGTTAAATAAATCAGGTGGGTGAAATTTCAGAAGCAGTTGGCTTTACTGTGAGACAGCAATTTAGAACAATGGGCTGCCTGTCAGGTCTTGTTATTCAGTGAGGTTCAGAAAGTGCCTAGTGCCACCTATTATTCAGACACTTTAGGCTGAGCTTTAACACCACATATCAAAACCCAGAAGCCAGGCAGTTACAGGAGCTGCAAAGCACCATCTGCCCTTATGAATTCATATAATCAAACCCTAACAAATTCAGAGGCAGTCTCAAGCATTCTTCCCCCTTATTGTCTCTACTTTATCTGCTAAACCCTAAAAACGTTCTGAGTTGCAATAGAGTTTGCACACTCCAGCCCAAAGATCCTTTACAATCCCCCTCACTGACACCAACACGTCCTACGATGACCTTGGTCACAGAAAGCCATGGAGCCTTTTTTTGTACAGAGAAAGCAGGGAAATTGGCATCCTAATAAGAGCACAACAGCTGAACATCTCTCCTTATCCAGTGATTGTGTCAAAACATTAGTCTGAAACAAGCAGAGAAGCAGAACTGTAACACAGCATTAACACCAATATATTAGAATGGCAATTTAAGGCAGTGGCTGGCTATTAAATCCTTTATTGATCAACATCATTAGTGCCTTTCAATATTTTCCAGAAGATGCTTACAAAAGCCATACAAGTGACTGGTCTTGATCCTTTTCTCAAGTTTCTAGCAGTTGAGGAAGGAAGCAGTTGGAATCTCTTCTACTGAGTTCACCACAGCCCAGGAACAACTCCCTTGTCTACACTTCCCATTCTTACTGTGTAATGCAGAAGATGAGGCACATGAATTTTGTAGGGCAAACTGAGAGGCTGCATCAGTGTCCTTTTCTGCAGCTGCCCCTTGGCAAATCCCATACTTAAACTAGGCTGACAGCATATAGAGTACAAGGTTTGTGCTGAGGTGTAACATTCCCAGTTCTAACTTGACACAGAACTTGTGGTTTTATTCCAAGGAGTTTCTAAAGCATCCCTCTGGATGCAGCTTTCATGCATGCCAGTCATGCATCTGGGCAGAGCTGGCTGACAGAAGATGGAACTAATTCAAAGGTGATTCTGGATGGGATATATAGGTATAGGTGTACAAAGAGAAGGGCATGCACATGCATGCAAACAGAAAAAGGAACAGTTTAAATTTTAGAAAGCTTTCAGCATGAGTGATACAAACATGGAAACCTAACTTCAACAGCCTTCTTGTTGACAGATATTTATTTTTATTTTTTCATCTAAGAGATTTGTGAGGTAATACTGAAGCATATCTACAAAAACATGCTAGCTTAATTAAACACTGTAATGAATCATGTTGGTCTAATATATTTGGGACCAGTGTTAAACATCATCCTTAGCCATCAATGCTTACAGCAAATATTCAGACTTGACAAATTAAAAGTGGCCAGGCATATTAGGCTTTCCAGTCAAATTCAGACCTTTAGTACACCTTATCAGATTCAAAGTCTGATAGAAAGATACAGACATTTGGCACAGTGATTTCTCACTTCTCTCTTCACTAAGCAATGCCACATTCAAAAAGAAATCAAACACCCACCACTTCATTAATGCTAATTACATAACTATTGCAGCGTTTCTACACATAATTATTTTTGCTAATCTTACTGGCAAGTTCATGTATCCAAAATTCAGTCACAGAAAGTGCAATACTATGCAGTACAGAGGACACCGGGAATAGTAAAAAATATGTTCTTTCTTTTATTGCATAAACTGAAACCCCCACAATTTGTACATAAAGTTCAAGTAAACATTTCATTACACAAAAAATATCTACGCAAGATGGAATTACCACTTTTATTATTTATATGTTCTACATTTAATCAGAACTTAGGAACTTAAAGCACTCTTCCACTCTTCCACAGTCTAGAAATCTTTCTTTCCATCTGCTTACGTATAACTGTTGCTACTCATGAAGTATAAGCATTTCAGAAAAAGTTTTAACCATCAAAATTTAGCATATCCCAAACAAGAAAAAAAAAAGTTTACATATCATTAAAAGCAGCAAAATGAACATTTTTAATGACTTGATTCACCACTGGTATAATGGCATTTACCATGGCATTGCTTTACAGATCTTAGGAATTCTATTTAGAAGAGACAAAGAGTATCTTAGCAAAATCAGTTTCTAAATGTTAAAGAACAGCCCTTAGCAGCTAACATGAATGGAAATTTCTTACCTGAAGTCCAGCATTATCTGCCTGTCCTCCTTTAACTAATTGGGAGATGAAGAGGCCACAGCTGAATTCCACTCCACCTCTTACACTTAATCCAAGCCCTTCAGGATTCAATCGATCCAATCTCACCTCTTTTAGCTTTCTACAAAAACAGAAAACACTTGAGTGTTCAGCTGCATAACACCTTGTCTCAATAATGTTTCATATGAAAGTTGGACATTATTTTTCTCTTATATAATTTAGGCATAAAAAAGCAAGTTTACTGAAGTTTGGATGGATGTGTGCTAACTAAAACCATCAAGTTTATTCATATGAAAAGATATTTGCAATCACCAAAACTGCTTTTAGAGGGTTAGAGCTGTGAGATTTCTTTTATTATTAAATTCAGGAAAAATGAGAAAATACTAGTTTTGACTCCTTTACCCTGCTTTTACTAGATTAAACCACTTGGCAAACAATTTAAGTACATTACATGTAGCGGTACTTCTAGCAAATATAGCAAAAGTAAAATAACTATGCCTAACTCTACGCAGACGAACAATATTTTACTCTGAATTACCTCAAAACTGAGTGTTTCCTGCTTTTATTTAAGTCAACTGCATTGTTTTGTTGTTGTTTTGCATTTTCTTACCGCGATCGTTTGGGTGTAAGCTGATCATATTCCACCTGGTGCTTTAATGGGATGAGAGGGCGGATAGCATCGAACAGAGGCAACCTGCTCGGTTCATTAATCACGAGTTTTAGGTCCCCCACAAGCACTGGGAGATTCATAGACCTGCAGGAACACAGTGGCAAAACAAACACAGGTAAACAACACACCAATAAAAAGCTTCATTTTTATAAGTTGTTGTGCACGTGGCTTCAATATTTGCATGTCCTTTCAAGCTACCAAAAAAAGATATTTATGCAGAAACTGGTTTGATGAAAGCAAAATCGCCCCTGAGAAAGCAAACCTTCTGTAAATAAAGAGTATTTGCTTCAAAACATGTGAAGTCTTCTATACATTCACTTGCTCTCTTAAGGTCATGCACATCACATTTTAGATGACATCTCCAATTTCATTCTCAGAGTATCCCCAAGATTTATGGAACTGTTTGAAAATAACTTTCCAGATTAGACATACCTGCCTAATGGAGTTTTGTTTCCTTATTAGTTAGAGATCCTTGTAAGTAAATATAGACTACAAGTGCCTTCTTTTTCTGAAGTTAGAGGACAAATTGCTTCAATCCAGGAAAAAGCCCACAATATTCAGCAGCTAGAGCAAAGACTTTGTTTAAGTTCCAATTTTTGTTCACAATCAAATTTGAATGGTGATTAACTAATCCACAAAACATACAGAAGTTAAACTGTTGTGAACACCTCTTTCTTGAGAGCTAAAAAAGTGGTCTCCTTGATATTGGCAGCAGTGAGATGGTTATAGTCTAGAAAATATACTTTGTTGTACAGCTGTAGGAGTGGAGGAATAGCTAAAGTTCAGTGGAGCTATTCCTATAAAATATTCAGCTAAACCTTTTCCATATTACTTGCTGTTCTCTTTCTTTAAATTTACATCTCCTGGGATGCAATAGTTCTGAGACATAGGCATTGAAAATACAGATCAGGCATACCTATATGGGATTAGAGGTCAAATACTTCTGGAAGTACTATTCACAGTGAAGCAGAAATTAAGTGCTAACTCCAACAGCAATTGCACATATTTTTGCCCTGAGATATTTCATAATGTATTCTCAGGAAGTGATTCATCATCCTCATATGTTCACAGAGATGTTGAACATTTTGCCCAAGACATTGCAATTGTGGAAATTGAAGAAAAGTTGCCATATGCATTGTTAATTTTGTAACTGCAAGAAGATTTTAAATAATTCAGATCTGCTGAACCAGCTGGCTTTGCAAACAACAGTCTATATGAATGGAAAAGCAATTAGACAGACCTGTGTGAAACCGAATCAGATATGCAGCTGAATACCCCCATAACTACAAATATCAGATGGAAACATATACATTTCACTCAGCTGAAAAGCTTTTAATTACAATAGGAATGGAAACAATGTCTATGAAAGCCACTTGTCTATTATTAGTGGAAAATATATTCTCATCTTCTCTGAAAAACAATAGATCATAGGCTGATGTCATTTGCAATGAAACAAGTCTGAGGTAACTGTGGTTTAAATCAGTTCAGCAAAAGGATTGGTAATAGGCCTATCACCTTTCCAATTTTTTACCATTGTGTTATTAAACATGCCAAACAGATTCCGAGACCAAATTTTTCCAGATTTGTGAAGGACAGTTGCAAAATTGTTATCTGAAAAGTTAGCAAAAATCTTTGAAAAGCCATGTCAGTGAAAACATTGTATCAAACAAATTGGAAATATTAATTAATTTTATTAATACACTCTTCCTGTTTTATCATGCAGAAGCCTCCCCCCACACACCTCCAGATATAAAAAACTCTAATAAAAAACTGCCAAGCCATAAAATGAAAATAACTTTATAAGTGATTACAGACATACTCATTCTTTGCCTGCAGATTGTGCTGTGAAACCACAAGATTTCATTAAACAGGATAAAACCCTCTTATTTCAAATACTTCTCTAGTAGCATATAGAAAGACTATTTAAAATAGTGAATATTAATTCTTCAAATTTAAAAATTTTAGTAAAATTATACACCAACATATTTAAAGCTAGATCTTACTGGTGGTACATCCGCAGCACGTCATAAAGGTAATCCTTCTCTGCTTCATTGTCAATTAACAGATTGACCTGAAAACCCAAAGACATTATTGTTAATCTCTGACTTAATAGCCACAAATGCTGAACATGAGAGACTTTCACAGATTCCTAAGCCATAGAGCAAAAGTTTCATCAAGGAAAAATAATTTTTTAAAGATAAACATGTTTTTGCAACAGAGCATTATCTCATAGTGTCATACTTAAAACAAGACTTTCTAAAATTAGTATGACAACAATTAGACAAAGTGGGGAATTCTGATATATTCTGTATGCTAGATTTCCACTCAGAAGTACTATTATTACAGTAATACCATATTTGTCTTACCTGGTAATCACTGTACTGTTGAATAAATGTCTTCAGAAACCTTTTTGGCCACTCATTAATGTAGCACATGCTGTCACAGATAAAACCACCACGCTGAGATATGATCTCTGTCCTGTCGTCTAAACCACCGATTTCAGGAGCTCACTTATAGCATTATGCAAACTGCTACACCTCTGCTCCTCTTTGCTCCAGCTCTTAACTGATAGAACTTGCTAGTTATTCTTTCCTCCCCCACTAATAGTACCTTTACTTAAACCAGTGTCATATTACTATGCCTGCTCTTGGATAATTACAGTAAATTAAAGCAAAAGAAAACCAAACCCGAATTCTTACATGAGGAGTTCAATTTAAATTCAGTGCTAGTGAGACCCTCACTAATCTTACTTGCAGCAAGAGGTCACATCACATCAGTTTTACATCTGGACAAGCCTGATGTTTAGGAAAACAATTTACATCTGACCTAAAGGGTAATATTACTGTGACGTGAAGACTGAGAAGCAATTTGCATACTTAAAGAAAGGCCCTTTCTTTCCAGGTTCGCAATGGTTTGTATTATGTTCTAAACTAAATACATGCTTCATATTCCTTTTGTCCCACTTGGCTCTCTAAAGCCAGCAAGACTTCACATACCAGTGGTTTTCTATTACTTGTACCTTCTGGCTCCCTAAAACCAGCAAGACTTCTCATTCAGGTGGTTTTCTGTTACTTGTCTCCTCTGGAAAAAGACACTTTCAAAACACCTAAAGGCCAGAAAGCTACATGCAGGTCAAGATTGCTTTACAGTTATACCAGTGAATACCATTTATTCACAGTGAATTTCAAAACACATAGGATAAAGCCTGCCTTAAAAGGAAATAAAATATTTGCAATCAAAACTTCAACAATACTGTGCACAGACTGGAGTCAAGGCTAGTTGTAAAGGTAAAACTCAACATCAAACTAATTCCAGCATCTATTTTTCACTTCCCTGACAGATGAAATACAGAGCTCAATCCCCAGTGCTAGCTAAGATACTGTATGAGCAGTGTCCCACAGAGAACATTAAATGTTTAAGTGTACCAACCCTACACACCAAAGGGTAAAACCATCATCAACTCTTTTTCCTGACAGAGAAAGCAAAGACTAACAACATTCCATTTTTCTCCTAATCCGATTGTTGGTGGATACATCCTAATTTCCTCTTAGAAAATAGAAGACCATGTCTAAATTCTGCTATTTCTTCTGACAAAATAGTCAGTCTTTCTGTTTGACTCCTGCACTTCTCATCCTACACCAGCAACTTCCATCTTTCCTGACAAAACCCAATGCCCACAGGATTTCTTATATATTCAGAATGCTACAGCTGGGTTAATCACCCTGGACACCCCTACTAGTGGGCCATTCTCCTCCTGCTGCCTTCTCTTCCATCAATTATCACTGTATTACAGCTACCTGCATCTCGTGCCACTTTTCTGACTCTTTAACTCCTTGGGGTAGTCTTACTGTAGACATATGCTTTACCTGGACTTATCATCAGCTTCTAAAAGCTGGCTCTAATTTCATAAATTGTAAAATATTATCTCCCCACTATCTTAAAAAAAAAAATAAATTAGTGGTGACATGGTATAACTTGGATCACAGAAGTACTTTAATATTTATTTCTCAAGAAAATTACTGCAGAGTCATGGGATAGGTGATTTCACAGCTTTTAAGAAAAACAATCTGGACACAGTCCTGGACAATTGGCTCTTGGTAGCCCTGAGCATGGGGCAGAGAACCTCCAGGTGTCCCTTCCACCCTCAACCCTTCTCTGATTATTTAAAGACTCTTCACAGTAGTTGTATCATTGATAATCCTAGACTCCAAAGAGTTGCTTATGCTCTATTTCTCACATACATTACACTGTTTTTCATAGAAACTTATAAAAAGTCATCACACAATCTGTACCTACATACATACAAAAAATGAAGTCTGTCAAGAAGTCTACCTACGTTTATTCAGTGGAATAGAAGCTGTGGGGAGGAAAAAGCACGTTTTTGGTGTGGAAAAAGTTCAGATGACAATTGTGCACTAAGTTAGCACTATTCCAATCTGTCACATTTCAAAGAAGAGTATGAAGTCCTGTTTAAGCTACACAGATTTTGGAAAAATATTGAAGGAAAGGGGAAAACTGGTTTGCATATATAACATACTTTACATTGCTGCTTGGTTGATAGGAAAACTGATTAAAATTGCTAAGAAAATAGAAACTAAGAAAAAAAGAAAAGAAAAATAATTGCCATTAACTGAGGAAATTCAGATTTTGTAGTGAGCATCTTCACTGGTACGTCACAGAGAAAGTAAGCGTCCAAGATTGTGGATGCCCCAGAGGTCACTAGAGGCAGGAGGATACAAAATTTTAAAAAAAGACCCATTTCAATATCTTCTAACTCAGATAAAGCTGTCACTGATACATGCATCCCAGCTGCTTGCAGCAACACTAACAATACATCTTACGTTATCAGGGGTGGGGCTTGAATGATTTATGAATTATAGCAGCAATGAAAGGGAGAAGGTTTAAAGTTCAAGACAGTAACCACCCACCTAGAAACCGGAGTCTTTACAGAGATGTTGCACAACCCACTGTTGAGTTATACAGTAATAGGGAGCAAGGCAGAAACAATGTGCTAGATGGCTACAGTCATCATAATGGAATATCCAGGTCCTTAATGTTTTAGAACTCCAGTTTGACATTCAGAAGTTTTTCGCCGTCCATCTAATTCATCCTAACAGTCTTTTGGTTAATGTGTTTATTACCAGGAAGCAGATACTTCTATGAAACATTAAATTACTTTGTGGAAATTGAGTGTCCTAGCCAATTAAAGGAAAAAAAAAAACCAAAACAGAAAAACAAAATCATCCACAATTTCCTTCACAAAACAAAACAACACCTACAGAAAACCTTAATCTGAGAGTCCTAAACGGCTTAGCAAAAACATCTTTTACACATAGAAACTATTTCCCTCCTCCTTTCCTTAATTAGAGCTTTTTGAGCGCTCTTCGCTCATACAATTTTGCGCTCTGCCGAGCACTTATTTAACCGGATAAATGACAAAACGACAAAATGCCAGGCAGCCCGAGCCGCTCCATGCATCAAGCGCGTTTGCAGAGGAGCGCACAGCCGCGCCGGGGAATGTTAAGGTGGAACCAGGGCGGGCCGAGCCCCGCCGGGTGCGCGCCGGGCTGAGCGGGCACTGCCCGCGCCGGCACTGCAGCGCCCGCCGACAGCAGCAGAAACAAACTGTCCCGAACGCCTGGAAACGCTCCTGCGCTGGGGAACGCTCCTCTTCTCTCCTCTTTCTAAGGGCTTTAACACCCATCCCGTCCCCGCTGGCTGCCACCCGCGCCGGTGGCAGGGCAGTGCAAAGTCCCCGAGCTGCTCCCTCCCTGCCCCGCGGCTCTCCGGGGCAGAGCCGTGCCCGGCCCGGGGGGCTGTGCCCGGCCCGGGGGGCCGTGCCGCCCGCAGCCTCCGCTCCCCCGGGGGTGGCCCCGGCCGTCCCCGCCGCCTCACCTTGTGCCGGAACTCGCGGGCGACGCGGCGCTCCATGGCGCGGCTGCGGGCGCTGCGCGGGCGCTGCGCGGGGCGGCTGCGCGGGCGAGGCCGCGCCCCGGGGCGGCGAGAGGCGCGCCCGCCGCCGCCTCCGGCATCCCGGCATCGCCGCCGGGCATCGCCGCCCGCCCTGCGCCTGCGGCCGAAACGCCCGAGAAAGTAGAAGGAGATGAAAAATAAACGCCCATCCGTACGCGGCCCTTGCCCCGCGGTGTGCTGCCCGCGCTGTTTTTTACGATCGGTTCTCCTCAAACGGCACTCGGCTCCCGTACCGATTTCTCTCCTGTATTTGTACTTATTCCATGCATGTCAGTATCACTGATAGTTAAGGAAAACACGAAGATGTGAACTTTAAAGCATACTAACGCCCGGGTTAAAAACAAAACAACCAAACTTAAAGCAATCTAAGCCCAAACAGAAAAAATTTGCTTCAATAAATTGCTGTACGGCAAATAATCTCAGCTTCTTTGGCTTTAGGTAAGCAGAGTGAAGCTAATGCATCATTGTCTAAATCAGATTTCCCCCAGCCTTTCCCACAATGTTGTTGCTTACAATTAGAGCCTCTGACGTGGCTGCTGTAACTGCAGAAGAATCAAGCTCGCATCACCTGAAAAGGAGCCTATTTCAGACTAAACTCTTTCATACTATTTTGTCTTGAGCTTCTCCCGCTTTCCCTACTGTGTTTCAAGACCACAGACTTCCCCAGTCAGGGGAGTAGTGAGTGGAGGACGCCTGCTCACCCAAGTGTCTTGGTCTCCACGCAGAATCACCTTTAATCGTATTACTCCAGAGAGAAGCAGGGTTTGCTTAAGGACAGGTAACTCACTTCTCCTCCTTCCAACTGAGTGGAAACCTGTATGAATACATATAAAAGCGTGATTTAAAAAAAAAAAAATCCATACTGCCATACAATCCCCTGTGTTCTGTTTTATAATTTCTGTGTGATTACTTTTGTAAGCTATACTGGCTCATTAGAAACTGCTCTTGGCCCTTTCAAATGGTTTAGCTGTGTTGGAAGATTTCAGCTAATGAACACTGCCCATTTCTTACATCAGGTGTCAGGAATATGAGAGGAGTACATATTAAGCCTATATACAAATAAATACAGTCATTTTCAGAAAACAGTTTTCTCTTAAAATTGCAGCTATTAATGCATAAATCACTTTTGCCTAAGTTCCATATGTATGGAATACATACAATACCAAAAAGCTAGTCTCTCCACACAGATATAGGCTTAAACACTGAGATACAGAATTTCTGCCATGCACATGCAAAATAAAACTATCTTGTATTTGAAAAGAGAAAGGAGACAAAAAATTTTGAAGCACGCATTATAACCCTGCATGTCACACCTTTAAGTTTACATATAGTCTAGAACAATCATTGATATCTATCAATAGTTTCTAGAAGGCTTTACAGGAATAGATCTTATCCAAGCTCAAAGTTATGCATATTTGAAAGAAAGTAACTGGCTTTGATAATACAGATAAATTTCTCAGGAGTCAGAAACTCCTCCACATAGTAAACAACTGTGGAATTAACTTCACTTGGTGTGAAAACTGCTCCAAATCATCATTTAAAGGAAGGATGACAAACTTCGTGGGCTGTTAGTCTGCTGTTGCATGAATTCCTGTGCTGTACTGTGAGTAAATACAAAGCAAACAATTCTACAAGGCTAACTCATGCTCCAAAACTGGAAGTTGGATAATCAATAAATTTATGAGATTGTTCTGAGGTTTTCAGCTTCAAATTCACCATATATTAAAAGATGGTACAATTATGACTGTTTAGTATTTTTCGATAATGAAGTCTTTCCTAGGAGGAAATAAAATTGCATCTAAATTGGTTCTACATTAGCTCCAATTCTTGTTTACTACTTGTGGCATAAAGGGAAAATGAACAAAGTGAGCAGCTCATTTAGTAGGCAAAGAAATGCATTTAAGTGTATTGTGTAACCTGATCCCTCTTGCTTTTATCTGCTTTCTCTACTTCCATTAATGTGAATTGGATCAGTGAAAGTGCACCAAATGCTGCACTCAGAGCAGATATAGGCTGAGGATAGCACATGTAAAATTTTGTTTGGGGTTATTTGGAGAAGGCTGTGTCAAAGTTAAAGGATATCTTCTATTCCTCACTTTTTTTTTTTTTTTTTCTCTCAAGCACATTCTCCCTCCAACACTTACAGAAGGCAACAGAATTCTCAGTGAAAACATACTAGTTTTCCATCATTTCATTAGAAATGAAACACAAGAAATACAATCCACAGGGACAAATTACAAAGGCAGAAAAGAGATCTTTTTAATGACTTACTGTTAACAGACTTCGCAAAGCAGTCAGAAAAGGCCCCTTTTTATCTGAGACAGTTTCTCACCTGGTATGGGCAGCTTCTAGAGCTTCTGTCATAAGATATGCAAACCTGAAGAATGATGGGGAGAGAGACAGCAGCAGAAGGGGAAGGGAAAATAACAGGAAAGGTAACAGTGATAGGGGGAGACACAAGGGAAAACATAATGGAAGGAAGCACATTTAAACATAAAGGATAAAAAAAAAAAGAAAGAAAAGAGAAGAGGATTAAAAGCCTCCAGAGAGAGCTCCAGAGTGTGAATTTATAGTAAAA